GTTCATTTGATGGCAAAAAATATATGCTAAACTTGTTTTTTTTCCTCGTAACAGTATGTCTTTACAATATACCAGCTCTTACCTGCAGTCAGTCCTAAAACATTTAGGCTCATGTTTAAATCTACAAAAGACTAAAAGTCTCCTTGAAACACTCGAGGAGCATCGTTACCCCTCAAACCTTCTGTTCCGTGTGTTTTAAGGAGCGTGTTTGGGTGAAAAGCTGTGGGTGTGTCGTGGAGTCATGGAGCAGAGTCCCACATACCCTCTGAACTGATCTCCCGGGACCGAACCAGGTCGCTCTTGTTTCCCACCAGAATGATTGGCGTGTGCGGCTGGGACTCCCTGAGGAGGAGGCGGAGCTGGGCGGTGCGGTGGAAACTTCTCCTGTCAGTCACTGAGAAGACCAAGATACATACGTCACACTGCAGAGTGGACAGGTCCTGGGGAGACACACACACACACACACAAGACTCAGAACAGCAGAGCAGGGTGGTCAGGTAAACATGAGAGCAGATCTAAAAGCCATCAGGAGATTAAAACTGATGCTTTGTGTCTAGAGCGGCACGGTGGATCAGTTGGTAGAGCTGTTGCCTATAAGTGAGAAAGTCGACAGTTCAAATCCTGGCCCAGGACCTTTCTGGGTGGAGTTTGCATGTTCTCTCCGTGCATGCGTGGGTTTTCTCCAGGTACTCTGGTTTCCTCCCACAGACCAAAAACATGCATGTTGGACTGATTGGCAACTCTAAATTGTTTCTAGGTGCGAGTGAGAGAGTGAATGGTTGTCCCCCGCCTCTCGCATAGTGATGGCTGGACATGGGCACCAGTGAACCCTGTGACCCAAAATGGAAGAAGCGGGTAAATGGATGGACAGACGCACGTTTTTTGTCCATCCCCACTGCCAGTCAGGCACCCACCTGACGAAGCAGAGGAGGCTCTGCTCAGCCTGGCTGTGCTCGTGTCACGCGTCACTTCGACTCTCATGTCGCTCTCAGCTGAGCGCTAACAGCCCGGCGGGCCTTCCTGTCACAGAGGCTCAATTAGAAAGAAAACCAGCAGCTTGCAGCTTTGGACCTCCTCAGCTCTCTGCCTGCTTCAGTCGCTGCACTGAAGGTGCTGAAAACTGGGTCAGGACAAGATTTCTACTTCTGCACTGTTTTCTTACTTTGTCTGAATGTTTCTGAATTTTTCTGATCCGGTTTTCTTCCGTACGCTTTTTTGCTTGTAACTGGTTACTCATCGTTTTTGTTCCATTTCAACAGTTCATGAATCAAAACGTTCGGCTCATCCAGGACATTCCTGCTCTGACGTCTGGTATTTGTGCAGTTTTTATATTTTGAAATATTTAGCTTTGTCGGCCATGTTTGTCTCATTGGAAATGAATGGAGCTCTTTACATCTGTCAAACTTTTTGAGCCGTTTCAAACTTTTACTGCTCTTTTCAGCTTTTTTTTCTGCTTCAGCTTTATTTCAGAATCAGAATCAGAATCAGTTTATTATTGCCATGTCAATGAACGAGGTTCACAAACTAGGAATTTGCTTCGACATAACGGTGCGAATAATAAGTAAAATAAAGTAAAAATGAAAACATAAAACATGTGTACACCCATACAAAAAAAAAAAAAAAAACAATAAAAAAAACTTAGACTTTAGCGTCTTTCTGCCAATTTCAGCTTCTTTTGAGTAATTCCAGTTTTTATTTGCTTTCTCAGCTACATTTTGGCTTTTTTGCTGCCTTTTTAGCTTTTTGGCTGCATCTCAACAAATTTAAGTTTGTATGTGCTCCTTTCAGCTTCTTTATGCTAAGTTTAGCTTTGTGGTGCTTTTTCAGGTACTTTCATCCGATTTTCTGCAAAATCAGGCTTCTCACATTCTTTCCGTTATTTATTTATTTATTTTTCTGATTTCACCATGTTTCTGCAACTTTAAGCTCTGCTAATTTGAGCTTTTTCTTATATAATTTCAGGGGTTTTGTTCTCCATTCAGATTTATTTTACTTTCATCTATTTGTGTATTTCAAGTCAGCTTCATGTTCTTCAGCAGCTTTCAGCAAATTCATTCAGCAACAAGCATTCACACTGTCCAGATGACCTGACTGAAAAATGTTGGATTGTATACCTGGATTATTGAGCATGGACTTTGTTGCGCAGGAATTGCAATTTTTCTAGTTTCAGCTGATTTTTTTTTTGTTGCTTTTCAGCTACTTTTTGCTAATTTTCAGCTTTTTTCTGCTCATTCAGTTTCTCTTTTCTAATCTATTCAGTCTATCTCTATTTTAACTTATTCTGATCATTTCTGCTCAATTCAGCTTTTTCTACACATTTCAGCAGTTTTTCTGCTGCTTTCAGCAAATGCCAGTTGTTCAATTTTAACTCACATGAGCAGTTTAATGAGCAGTTTTCAGCAGCAAACATGCAGCAATGCATCCATGCTGCATTTTCACAGGAAATGACATCCTTCTAGTTTTCTATATGTTTACGCGCCTACAGTTTATGCGTATGAGCATCTTGAATGAAAAAGGGAACAGCGGACAGAAGGAGTCTGCAGGGATCCAGCTGAGGACTTGGTGACCCACTTGTAGTTTTCAGGCCCTAAATAATAGAAGTGCGTTGATCTCTGAGTTGAAAACCAAATACGCAGCAGATAAAAGATTAGGAGTTTAGTCAATTGAATGCCCTGTTTATAAGTAAATGCTAAGCTTTTGTGGCTTAAAATGTCCTGCAGGTCACGTTGGTCCAGGCCTCATTAAAAATGTAATACACAAAACTACCGTCTGAAGCAGAGACAAGCGTCTGTCTGTTTTTAACAGCAACTCTGGTCTTTTTCATCCTCGTTTGTGACGCGACTTCTTTTCAAACATCAGGTCTTGCTCTGCAACTCTTCCTCTTTGTTGTCCAGCACAAAGTGAGTCAGCTCGTGTAACCTTTCAGAAATACTTGAACCCCGTCCTGCGGTGCACAGACCCTGCACACCATGTGGACAAACAGTCAGCATGTGTTGCAGCTTGAAGCTGGCAGACACAGGATGGTTGTGGTCATGCTGAAATTTTGCAGCACGTTACTTAAAGCTTTCTCTAAAACAAGGTTTCCATAATCTGAATCTGTTGGGTGTGGTTGTGGTAAAGATGTTATAAAGTCACACTGAGCTTCGTCGCTCTCTTTTAACTCTGTTAGCAGCCGTGGAGCTGCAGGGATTAGAAAAGCTCTTACTGGTCACCAGTTGTGTTGATGTGAAACATTTGAAGGGAAAATTTAGACCTTTCAAAGAGAGGTGCTGTGAAACAACTACGAACAATAAATATCTTACCTGTTGTAGAAAGCTCTTTAAAGGGCCTTACTTTAGAAAACTTTAATTTATATCAGAGCAGATTAGGAATCTAACCTAATCCAGTGTGTCCCCTACCATTATACAAGGATGGCGCCCCACCCTGTCAACAGAACCGAGCGCCCTGCCTACCGAACTGTCCCAACAAACAAGTTGTACCCTGATGCCCCCCCTGTCGTTGAGGGATTTAAGCAGTGAATGTTTGTAGTTCTGGAGATGAGTGTTTTTCTGGACTGAAACCATTACACTGTGCAGAACAACAGAGGCTGTTTTTTTTTTTTTTTTTTGTTAATCTGAGGCAGAACAGAGCGACTGATCCTGAAGAGGCGAGGGAAACATTTTATCTACCACCAGGTGCAGTGGAGGAGCCAAGGGGTGGCCAATGGTGGCCTTGGCCCACATAGATTAATCTTAGGCCACCCCATCATTTGAGAAAACTACATGTTTGAGCAATACAAAAACTATAGTTTCCACAAACGATAAGGGTGACAGATTTATTTATGTATAGGGGAGTGGTGGTGCAGAGGTTGGAGAAGGTGGGCCTGTGATCGGAAGGTCGCCGGTTCAACTCCCCAGACCAACATCATCAAAATGTGGGTGGGAAAGGTGAAACACCCACACCTGCCTCCACCATTACTTGTCCCACTCTGGGCCCTTGAGCAAGGACCTTAACCCCCACCATCTGCTCCACACAGAGGGCTGTGGTAGCTCATGGTCTGTAGTTGTGTCAGGAAAAGCATCCGGTGTAAAAATAATTGCCAAGTCTTCCTGTGAGTTAGTTCGCTGCGGCGACCCCTGAAGAAGGGAGCAGCCGAAAGAAGAAGAAGAAAACATGGTGACAAAAAACAAAATGGAGGTCAGCACCGCACTTATTTTACAAGTTATCAAGCTCACAGGATATGCGGCTGGAAAGATGGAGGCTACTTGATTTTTTTCTGTTTTCAGAAGCAAAATCGATGGTGATGTAAACGTTTATATCATCACATTTACATTTATTTTTAAATAAAATAAAGTCATGGGAGTTTATAAACTCCCATGACTTTATGTTTAGATTGGAGTTGTTTTAAGACTGAACTTTGGTCCTGGCTACGTTGGATTAGTTCTTAGCTCGTTAGTCAGATCGTTCAAAGAGCCATCCACAGCAGGTAACATAGTCACTACTCTCAACCTTTAACACACAATCCTGCTCCACTGATCTCAACCACAGCTTGAACTCCTGATGAAAAGCTCAGCAGTGATAGAAAGATCAACAGAAATGTGAGCGCAGGAACGCTACCGTCAATTTTTAAAGCTAAATCTTTAGATGAGCTCATCATCCGTCACGTTTGTAACACATCTGACATCGTCGTTTCATTAAGTTCATACCAGTTGTGTTCCAGTCAAAGGATCAAAATAATGTGAGCACAGATTCTTGTCTATTAAAAAGTGCATTTTTTATTTTTATTCAACAATTTTCTGATTTTTAAGCATTTCCTTCGAGACACAAAACACCTTTTCGTTTGACATTCCTGCAAACAGATAAAATGTCAGGGCTGGTGCAAGTCTAAATTTGTCATTTTTATTATATTTTTCCTCATACATACAAAAATATCTCGCCCGTAAACTTAATTAAATTGTATTTCAACAGGAAATAAGATTTGAAACCATAAACTCATGTGAGTAAATCAATACAAAGCAGATAACCCATTCTGACTACTGCAGTTTTGGATGCCATGCTTCGTGTGTGTGTGTGTGTGTGTGTGTTAGAAAGTGTTTTGCCATATTTATGGACCACAAAAAGCATGACCCAGTTTAACAGTCAGCTCTAATTTCTAGATCTTGGTGGAAACCATAAAATCAACCTCAGAACAGAACTCTGTGTTAAATTAGTCTCCACGGGCCTCGAGGTGATGTTAACCTCTGCCCTCCTAAAGGCTCCCACAGACCCGGGTGTACTTCAGTCCTCGCGTACTGGATTAGAGTCGAAGCGGACGCCTGCAGGGCATGTCCGTGCAAAGCTCAATTTTTACAACCATATTCACATACTCTGTGTCGCACAATAAACCGCTCGGTGACGGACTGTTTTGTTTGCAACATTAATGTATTAAATTTCTCTTTTTCATCCCTGATCTGGTTTAATG